GCAGCATGAGGTTAGATACTTTCCATATGCAAGGAAAAAAATGCTCATTATTTACAATGGAGAGAGAGAGAGAGAGAGAGAGAGAGAGAGAAGAGAGATATCTCAGGAATAATAAGGTCTTTTCTGAAAAGCAGTACTACTACTCAATTTCAGAGGTTTCTTTTATCTGAGGATATCAAATACTTCTTTTTTAAAAAGATTTTCTCATGCTGAGATAATTGGAAAAACTTATACTTGTATAGTTGACCCTCCATATCCATGGGTTCAACCAACTGTGGAACGAATATATTCAAAAGAAAAAAAACCTCGCATCTGTATTGAATGTGTACAGAAGGTTTTTCCTAAACAATATAGAATAACAATTATTTGCATAGTATTTGCATTGCATTAGGTGTTACAAGTAATTTAGAGGTAATTTAAATTACATGGAAGGGGCTGGGTGCTTGTAGCTCAGTGGCAGAGCACTTGCCTAGCATGTATAAGGCACTGGGTTTGATCCTCAGCACCACATAAAAATAATTAAACAAAACAAAGGTATTATGTCCATTTACAACTAAAGCAATTTTAAAAAACAAAGTATGTGGAAGGATGTACATAGGTTTATGTGCAAATACTAAGCCATTTTATAGAAAGGACTTGCGTACCTGTGGATTTTGCTATCTGCAGAGGGTCCTGGACTCAATCCCCTATGAAAATTCAGAGACAACTGTAAAGCAAAGAGAATATATTTTCACATTTCTGCAACCAGTAGCCACACCAGAAGGAAGACCAGATTCTGCTCAGTCTTTGCCGAGGGTACCCTGCACTCTTTTTCTTTGCTCCATAACTAATTCTGATGCAAGAAAGTCCCATCTGTCTTTGATTGTTGACTCTGCTACTGGATTCCTAGCAAATAGCTTTTCTAAACTTGAGCAACGATGCTTATTCTTTGTGAAGATGCTTTTCCATAAACCATAATTTGTAGAAGGGCAGCAAATTATTTCATTCTTACCAACAGCTATGAAATGCAATTAGATTTTAGTCTTTGAGGCACTTTCAGATTGGGTCAGCTGGCTCTACCTGCATCAAACAGAGCCCTTGGTCAGGTCCCAGGAGATAGACAGTGATGGTGTCACTTGCAGCCTCAGTTAAGGATTATACCTTAAAAAAAAAAAATCGAGGCAGCAGCTAGTACTTATCCAGCATTTAGATTGGCTGTTTAACTCAGGGCCAATGGAAATAGCAGTCACTGAGCCTAATATTTACTAAATGCTTACTAGGTATTGGGCTCTATGCTGCACATACATGATCTTATTTAATCCTGAAATAATAACACGAGGTAGGTTCTGTACTTTTATCTTTGGGAAGACTAAGGCCCAGAGATGTTAAGTAACTTGCCTATTATCTCATAGTTAGTAAGCAATGGAACCCAGGGTCATTCACCAGGACCAACTACTTAATTTGTGGGGCCCAGTGCAGAATGAAAATACATTCCCTTGTTAAAAAGAACATCTCCTGGCGACAGGAGAGCATTAAACCAAGCATGCAGGCCTTCTCAGAGTGAGGCCTGGTGTGATTGCAGTTTGTACATCCATCAGGCAGACTGCCTGCACACTCTTAACCAAACAGCGGGGACTGAACACTACATAGCTTGGTAAAGATTTAACTTTGATGTGTAAATAGCAAATGGAAGCTTCTATGTGTGTTGTGTGTCTTGGTCATGAATCCTCTTCAAACACCAGCTCTCTTCACAAAAGATATGGGACTGTCTTCTAGCTCATGGTGACAGAGCTGAGGCACCCCTGGTCCTGCTCATTGGTAACAGCTTCTTTGGGTGTGTCCCTACTGGACTGTGTCTTTTGCTGAAAATCACCATAAGGCATTTGATGGAGGAACTTCGTGGACACCTTGTGCTTTACTTAAACCCAGTTCTAGTGTTCTGGGCTTGTTCTACGAACAATTGCATGTCCAGCAGCTGTCACCCCACTTATTTCTCAGCCTTGATTGCCTCTAGTTGTCCAAGACACACCCACACCTCAGATCCAGTCATGGGCCCACCTGAATCATTGAGTCAGCCCAGCTCAAGGTACAGACATTTTGTCCCTTGTCCTGGTGCTATGGGAGAACAGCGGGGTTGCCAGAAGGAAAATAGGAACCAACCATCTGTTTTTCCCTGGGGCTGCTTAATTTTTCTGTAGTCGTATTGCTTAGGAGTGATCCCTTTCCACATAAAACCACAGGGCCAGATGATAACTGCGAACCCTTACTGAGTGCTTGCTTTCTACTATGCTTTGCTTGTATTTAATCTTCAGGTGTAACTCATGCTTCACATGTAACTCATTTAATCTTTAAAGGCTTACAGATAGGTGATTTAATAGTTCCATCTTTCAGAGGAAGGCAGTGAGGCAGGGAGATTGAATAACTTGCCCAGATCTAGGGCCAGTAAATGGAAAAGTCAGAGCAGGAACCCACGCCATCTCTAGTTCTAGAGCCACAATGTAATGTTCAAACCTTACTTCAGAATTTCACCAAGCATTCTGGAAGGATGGGCAGGGCAGCTCAGCAGGCCTGGTACAGCTAGAGCCCCAAATCCAGGAATGGGGACTTGTCATTGCCTCTGAGGAAAGCTCCAAAGTGCAAATTCTAGAATTTTCCCAGAGTGACAGTGTGGAGGGTCGAACAGTCCCTCCATATAGATCACCAGAGGCATGGAACACAGATACACACAGGCCTGTGCCTGAGATGTAGCACTTCTCAAGAATGGAGATCACATTCTGTCCCCTACGGAGCAAGTCTCTAAAGAAAGAGGCTGTAAAATATATTTAAAGACTTATAATTACGAGTGCACGTGTCTAAGAATTTCCTTTAATTTTGTTATAGTGTTTTAGCCTGAAAACTCTAGCAATTGTAATAATAATAATGATATATATCTATTTTTTGCATTGGCATAGTACTTTACAGTTTGCTGATTTTTCCCTGCATTTAAAAAAAAAAAAATCTCTCCACCACTAGGAGAGGTTGAGTGGGTCTAAGGACAACCTGATAGCATACGGTCAAATAAGTCTCCATCTCCTCACTTCTATCTGAGGCTCCTTGGGCGACACTGATGTGCCCTGAGCACAGTCCTTTACCCAGGAGGTAGATAAGGGGTCATCTCTGAATGCTGGAGGAAGCACATAGTTCTTGTGCCTCATATGCCAATGCATTTGCAGCAGGTTCAAAGCTTCAATTTACCTGCATCTGCAATATGTTTCTTTCTGTAACACTCAGACTAAAAGGAAATCTATTTTCCCTAAGATTGGACAATTGTGAGACAGTCAAGCTAGAGTCTTTAATATCTCCACAAGTTTGTAGAATGTTTCTAAGGGTCATCATGAACCCAGTACAAAGTGACATGGTAGAAGCCCAATATTTTTTCCTTTCCAACAGGGCTCGATTAATGTAATTCAGAGTATTCTAGAGGAGAATGCTTGGCAAAATTATTTTTCCTAAATTCCTGAAAACACTTGAGAAAAGTTACCAAACCTTTTTTTTTTTTGCCTGTTTAAATCAAAACGGTGGTGAAAAAAAAGAAATATAAGATTAGAAAGTCTTGCTTGAACACTCATTTAAGAAATAGAAATTTAAATAATTTGTGATAAGAGGTTTGAGTGATTCTGGACAGAAAATTGAGAAGGAAAATAGCCGAGTGACTCATCTGCAAAGGGCAAAGTCATCAGCAAGCCCTCTGGGTCTGCAGGAGAATGACTGATAGACAGTCCTTAGCATCATTCTGTGCTATGCTTCGCTTCATTCCCAGTGTGTTCATGACTGTGGACCCAATAACTGACACATGGCTTAGATTCAGAAACAGGCCCCACAGGAGCTACCCAAATTTGGAAGAGTGGTGCAGGGACCAGACTCATCAGCATAAGATTGTGATGCTGGGGCCTGGGGTTGTGGCTCCCTGGTAGAGTGCTCGTCGCCTAGCATGCACAAGGCACTGGGTTCGATCCTCAGCACCACATAAATGTAAAGCAAAGACGTTGTATCCACCTAAAAACTTAAGAATAAATATTTTTTTAAAAATTGTGATGCTAACTGGCATGAAAATAAACAACAAATAATTGAGGCTCTTGTCCTATGTAAATTGTGCTAACCCTATAAGCTTTTTTCTCCCAGTAATACTTTTTTTTTAAGTCCCATTCATATAGAATGGGCCCAGTATACAGTTTAGCTATTTATATAAATGCAAAACTCTTAAGCATGCAGAAATTGGAGTTTTCAAAGCATTTTTAAAAATTCACATTCATAGAAGGATTCGCTTGTATTCAGACCTCCACTTCACCAGCAAACATTTATCAAGTACTGCTTGCCCTTGGTGCAAGAAGTGGTGGGTGGAGAGGCAGAACGCAGAGATGGTGTGGAGTTCCCAGTAAAGAGAAAAAAAGAGCCAGGCACTGCTAGACTTCCCCATCAATGGGGAAAGAGGCACAAAATCTTTGTTTCTGTTTACTGTTGCCCGGCTTCCCAGGGTAGGACTGTAGAAATCATAGGTCCTATCTGAGTTTGAAATAGACTAGATTTCCTCTCCAATGGTCAGCACCCCTTACTCTACAAAAGCAGATGTTGAAGACAGCCACAGTTCGTCCAGGTGAAGAAGATGCCCACCAGATAGTACTGTACAGAAGAAGCCCTGTCTAATCTAAACAGGCAATGGTGAAACCTTTCCAGATGTTCAGTTTACCCAAACCAATCGTGTCCATGATGTTTGGTGTTTCTGAAGAGCAACATTCACTATCAGAAATGCAATTCTGGGTGGACACAAATAATTTCTTAAGATTTATGAAAACTTAAAACTATTTAAACTTGGAACAATGTTTCGTATATGGCCTTCAAAATGGAATTCTATTCCCTAAGACTCATGAAGTGGGGGAGATGAACAAATCTTTTAAAAAAAAGTCTGTGGATTCTTTGGTCAATAGTCTACTTTCTCTTCCATTTCACCTGTCTTCCTCTCTCTTTCTGATATTTCTCACCAGGGTATGGGAATATTGCTCCAAGCACTGAAGGAGGCAAAATCTTTTGTATTTTATATGCCATCTTTGGGATTCCACTCTTTGGTTTCTTATTGGCTGGAATTGGAGACCAACTTGGAACCATCTTTGGGAAAAGCATTGCAAGAGTGGAGAAGGTCTTTCGAGTGAGTACTGCATCTATTTAACTTTAACGTCTGCCATCTGGTTGTCTTCACTCCAGTAGGATTCAGAAGGCCTTATCAGGGGCACCATTCATTTTTAATGAAATAGTGTGTAACATTAAGATTGGGTTTTCCATTTTAACCAATGGCAATCATAGGTACTGTGCCTAAATGCCCTGTTGTTTGAATAGCTTCCTACAATAGAGAGGTATTTCAGGGATGAAGAGACAAGAGGGTTAAGTATGAATTTGCCAACCCAGCTTTCGTGAAGAGGTGAGGCATACTCAGTGTCTTAGTCTGTTTATGCTGCTATAACAAAATTCCTGAGACAGGGTGGATTGTAGAGAAGGAAATTTATTTCTCATAGTTCGGAGGCTTGGAATCTGAGATCAAGGTGCTGGCAGGATTGGTTGTCTGGTGAGGGGCCTGTTCTCACCTTTCAAGCTGGTGGCTTCTAGTGGCATTCTCTGGAAGAGAAGATTGTTGAGTCCTCATACAGCAGGGGGGATGGAAGGTGAGAAGGATGTAATACTGCATGAGACCTCTTGTATAAGGGCCTTATTCTGATTCATGAGGTGGAGCCCTCAGAAGCTAATCACCTTTTAAAGGCCTCACCTCTTAGTACTAGCATATGGACCATTAAGTTTCAATACCTGAATCTTGGAGGGGACTCATTCAAACCATAGCATTTAGCTCTCCTTAAAGATGGAAGATGGTTTCCTTAGTGTTTTTTCCATGAAGCAGAGAATTGTAAATCCATCCACTTTGCCACTTGAGCTCCTCCACTCCTTTGTATTCCTAGAGTGTCTCTAGGCGGATCCTGGTTTCTTTGAGACCAGCCTTCTCTGAACCTTCTGTGCCTCTCTCCTCGGGGCTCCTCCCTGTTCTGCCTACCACTGCTGAGTGTTCCCTCAGTAATGACACACAGAGCCTACTTCATGCTAAGGGGTACAGGATGCTATTGCCTTAGTGAGTTTTTTTTTTTTTCCCCTCTTGGAAATATTTACCTTTACACGATGGACAGAAATCTCAAGCTATGGAATTTGTTTACTAAAGGTGATGTGCCTAGCACCAGTGACAGGCATGTGGGGTGCTTGTTATTGGACTGAGGTTCCCAACACCTTTAGTTGTCACCTGTTCATATGCTTTCCTGAGACTCTTGTTTAACATAGGCTTAAGGTCATTTCTGCTATCTTATTCAGTGTTGGCCTAATTCAAATATTCTAGATCTTCATCAGGAAGTTCTTTCTTATGATGACTTATTATTATTATTTGTTAATTGGCAGTACTGTGCATTGAACCCAGGGGCACTGTATTACTGAGCTACATCCCAGCTTTTTTAAATTTTAAATTTGAGATGGGGTTCTTGCTAAATTGCTGAGGCTGACCTTGAACTTGTGATCCTCCTGCCTCAGCCTCCCAAGTCACTGGGATTAAAGGTGTGAGCCACTGGCAGATGACTTAATTTTTTAAAAATAACATTTTTGGGGGGGTTTTATTTTGATTTTAAAATTGATTCTGTTTAGTTATATATGACAGCAGAATCCATTTTGATGTAATTATACAAGAATGGAATATATCTGATTCTAGTTAGAGTCCCATTCTTATGGATGTACATGGAAAACTATATCAGATTCATTCCATTGTCTTTCCTTTGCTTGTCTCCCTTTCTTCCCTTCATTCCCCATTGTCTAATCTACTGTACTTCTACTCTTCCCCTCAATGCCCCTGACTTTATGGTGAGTTAGCTTCCACCTTTTGGAGAAAACTTTGGTTTTTTGGGACTGACTTACTTCACTTAGCAGGATAGTCTCCAGATCCATCCATTTATTGGCAAATGTTATTCTTCTTAGTGGCTGAGTAATATTCCATTGTGTATATATATACCACATTTTCTTTATCCATTCATCTGTTGAAGGGCACCTAGGTTGGTTCCATAGCTTAGCTATTGTGAATTGAGCTGCTATGAATATTGATGTGGCTGCATTGCTGTAGTATGCTGATTTAAAGTCCTTTGGATATATACTGAGGAGTGGGATAACTGGGTCGAATAGTGGTTCCATTCCTATTTTTCTGAGGAATTTCCATACTGCTTTCCAGAGCAATTTACCAATTTGCAGTCCCACTAGCAACCTTTCCCCCACATCTTGCCAACATTTATTGTTACTTGTATTCTTGATAATTGCCACTCTGACTGGAGTAAGATGGAATCTCATTGTAGTTTTAGTTTGCATTTCTCTACTTGCTACAGATGTTGAACATTTTATCATATGTTTGTTGACCATTTTAGAATCTGGCAATGATGGGTGAAGACAGTAGATGGTGAGCCCTAAAGCTGTGCTCCCCTTACCCCCACAGGATAAGAACTCTCAAGTTTTGACCTTACGCCTGTCTCTGAAATCATGATTTATACTTTTCTTTAGCAGAAGGCAGGAAAGCTTCTGGCCAGCAGTTTGAGAGTGTGTTGTGTTTTGACTGAGGCACTGTAGCTGGTCTGGGGTTGCATTGATAAGCCCCGTGATTCTGGGAAAGTTGCCTCAGTTTACCCACTGGCTAAAGGGAACAGAATTCAAATCTGCTTTAGAAGGTTTTGGTGATGATTAAATGAAATAATATGTGGGAAAGAGCTTGGCACAGGGCTAGACACGCTGCTTGCTCTGAGAGAAGGGCTTGTTGGCAGGCTAGCCACTCGCTCAGGTTTTATCTGCTTAGCTCTGTGCGTGTGAGTTTTTCTGGAATGTCCCACAGTCTTTGCTGCCCGGGTGCTGGCTGCCCAGCAACCTCATTAGAACAAGCACCTGGGCTCCTCGTTGGTCACCATGGAAACCACCACACTTGCCTTCTCTGCCTCTCAGATGTTTAGGGCTCCCTGAGCCAAGGCGGCCCTCTCTCCAAGAGCCATTTTGAACTTCTCAGAGTGGCCTCTTAGCCATTGTCATGTGGCCCTTTGAGTTAGGAAAAAAAAAAAGAAAAACAATACGAATCAGCCATTGAACACTCAGAAGAGCAGGATTCACATGGAGAAATGACTGACCTGGTAGGCTTATTTTATGTAGCTTCTTGAGCTCTCAGTTTCCTTAGTTGTAGAAGAAAGGGGTAGACTAAATGCTCCTCCAATCTCCCTTGAGCAAATAAAATAAAATGAAGAAAATTAGTTTCTGAATTCTAAATGAGAGAAGAGGTTTCAGTCATTTTAATCCATCTGCTACCAGATTGGGGGACTGAGTTTCCCCTAATTAATTTCAGACGACAAGCAGAGTGTGCTGTGGAACACACACTGAGTGTGTCCTTCCTCTTAGAGGAATGATCTGGATGGATCCTTCAGTGGACTTGGGGGCAGAGCCATTACATTTTTATGCTCCTGGTCCATGCACTGTGACAGGAGATGGGACGTCTTGCAGGGAGGCGAGTCAGACGTCTGCTATTGAATGGGCAGCACGCGACGGATGTACCTGACCAATGTCGGAGGGGGCTGTTGGCAGGGCTGACCGAATCCCAGGAGGGTAGCATACTTGCTGAACACTCAGATGACTGATGGGCAGTGGTTCCCTTTCTGCACATGAGGTTGTGGCAGAAAATCTGAAAGCTCTTGGCCATTCCCTTAAGCTACATTTAAAAGGCCAGTTGCTTAGGTAGGTGGTTGGACAATAAAACTGTACAAACCAGCGAAACTTGGAGTGGTGAATTTCCAGTTCCCATGGGGAAGGCTTGTTTACAAAAAAAAAATCTGCATGATGATTATTAGGTCTCTTTCTTTGCCTGCTAGGTTTTCTCTCAGCTCTTGGGAGGAGAGGACTTTTTTTGTGGAGAAAATGTATACTATGAGCACAACCTTCCAAGTATCTGTGTTCTGAGGTGATTCTGGTTTAGATCCTTTTAACATATTCCATGTCTGAGCCTCATTTTGAAGAGTAGCTGAGGGGTACTGCGTGACTTAGGTTTTGCTTTTGGCTGAAGAATAATCAAATGCCTGTATGTTTTATTTATTCACTCCATTTTTAATGGAGTGAATAAATAAAAACTCTTTCTTCTCCCCTGGAGTTGAGAACTGAGAAATAGAGGAGTCAGACAGAGATAAAAATGTCAGCCTTACAGCTGACCAGCTGACCAGAGAATACAACTTTGTCTCTATTGCCAAAAGGACTTACTAGTTTTCTCTTGCTGTGTCACAAACGACCATAGACATAGAAGCTTCAAACTTCCATTGGTTGTGTCTCACCTTTGTAGGTCAGTGGTCCTGTGGGCTTGGACGGTGGGTATGCTCAACATATTGCAGGACCAAAATCAACGTGTGAGCCAGACTGGGCTCTCGATCCCGGGAAGAATCTGCTTCCAGGCTCATGCAGGTTTTGGCAAAAAAAAATAGCCTCTAAGGTTATAGAGCTGAGATGCAGAATCCTCCTCAAGCTTTGACTCTGTCTGACTCCCCTCAGGCTGAGTTGGAGGAAGTTCTCTGTTCTTAAAGGCTCAGGTGATTACATCAGGCCTGGGAGGATGATCTCCCTGCCTTGGGGTCAGCTGTACCACATCTTATCATGCAGTTGGGGGGGGTGATATCTCGTCATATCACAGGTTCTGGGGATTAGGGTGGCTTGTCCTGGGGGGCCGTTTTTGACATTCCCCTTGTCACACACTGAGTCATATGGTCATAGGAGCACAGACCTCCTTCACAAGGCAGCTCTTCCTCTAATCTTGCTACATCGTGGAGAGAAAAGCAGAGTGCACTGCTTTGTAGGAAGATGGTCCCAGATCTGAAGGTGCTCAGCTTCTGAGTCATCTGTGTGGTTGAACAGTGGGGACAGAGGCTCAGAGTGTTAAACTAGCTTAAGTCCCTCCATGTGGGGCAAGAAGCCAGAACAATGCACATGCCTTCCTGTACCAATTCACAGTGGGCTGAGAGTTTGGACACATACTCATTTCACCTAGCAAGAAGCCTGGAGGTAGGTGGATTCAGGGTTGGTGCGTCGGCCCCACAGTGTTAGGTGTACCCCCATTTGTTCTCT